AAGTTTTGAACTTGAAACTCCGAAGATTATAGAGGCTGTTGAAGTTGGAATGAATTCATTTTGCATTATGAGACAGCCATGAGCCTGTGGGGCCAAGGGCGCTAGGCTTTGGTATCAAGTTGAAGAGGCTGGGCTCATGAGGGTGAACTTGGATTGTCAACCTGGTTGGCTTTAGGAACACCTGGGCCATTAAGGAACACACCTTTGGGTGCATCTATTGTGGGAATCTGTGGGAGACCAGCTCTGAACTGCTCCCACTTTTTGAAGGGTTTTTAGGTGGGGGAAGAGGGAATTAAGAAATGATAGAAAGAGAGACCTAGCCGACGAGAAGAAAGACAGAAACACAGGAAAGCTTCAGGATGGCCTGGGTCAATACCCAACAGCCTTGAAGTTTATTCAAAAGGGCTTTTTATAATATGCCAAGGGGAGAGGCAAAAGACCTTCCCCTTGCAAGATCAAAGCACACTGTACAGCCAAGTGTAGACCCTTCCAAACACCTGTTAAGGACGCCCGTGACCAAATCATCTCCTTATGCAGCCCTGCTGGGTAAAGCAAGCCCAGATTCTCTGACCCTGAGTAAGTTCTCACTAGGAAGCCTCTGTGGGCTCCCACAATCTGCGAATGTGTTCCCAGAACCACTGACTGAGGAGGGGAAACCCACCCTGGATGTGGTGGCACCATCTCCTGGGATGGGGTCTTGGACTGAATAAAGAGGGGGGAAGCAGAAAGCCAGTTGAGCATTTGGCGGTCCCCATTCTCTGCTTCCTGGCCAGCACCAAAGACAAGCATCCCGCCACTGCCGTGCCTGTGCCTTCCCCTCAGTGAGGGAATGTGTTACTCGGAACTGGGAGCCAAAACAAAGCCTCTCTTGCTTTGCCATTTTGTCGGGTACTTAGCCATGGCCACAAGAAATACAAAGCAATACATATAGATTCTGGAACATTCTATCAATTCAAACAAAGAAACTAATAATATATGAACTGTGAACTGATCCCTAGAATAAAACAAGACAGAAGTAAACATCTGAAGTGAAAATTCACCGAATGTCAGAAAAGGAACTTAGCCAGAAAACTATGGTTGTCTGCCTTTGGGGATGTCTTAAGAATCGTTACTGAAGCCTTTTTTCTTTTTGAGACAGGGTCTCATTATGGAGCTCTGGCTGGCTTGGAACTCTCTTTGTAGACTAGACTTGCTTCAAACTCACAGAGATCCACCTTACCTCTGCCCCTCAAGTGCTGGGACTAAAAGTGTGAGCCATCACACCTGACCCTAGGCTTTTTTTTTTCCAAGTAGGAGGAAATGCAATTTCTCTACAATTCTACATTATGTCAACATAGAATTCCCAGTATCTTTCCTATGAAAAAATAAATACAAGACCACAATGTGAATTTTAGGTCCATTTATCCATCCAACTATCCTTCCCTCTAGTCACCTAATCCACCCATTTATCTGTTCATCTGTCTGTTCAACCATCCATCCACCCATCCACCTATTCGCCATTTATCCATTTGACTATCTATCGATCTGTTTCTCATTCAGTCATCACACACTTGTTAAGTGTCTGCCACATGACAGGCATTTTGTTGGCTTTTGTCAGGCATAGCTGTGATTGAGACACACATCTGTTCTCTTAGAGGCTAATCTACTGAGGAAGGAAAACAAAATGTAAAGATGGTGAACGAGAACCGTGGCAGCTGACGTGTGGGGCATTACGATGTATGTCAGAATAGTCCTATGCCTCTGTGAATTCATTGGTTCATAAACATGTCCACCTGCAGCTAGATAAGCTCACATGAGCTTCCTTTGTGATTAGCTAGCCTCATTTGGCTGAAACTTGCATAAGACACTGGGATAGTAAGAGTAAGCTTCACCAGACATTCCTGACGATATTCAGAAATAGGAAAGTGGCAGCTGGCAGATCTGGGTCAGACTGAAGGGAACAATGATGGACACGTCACTCCTCTCTCTCACCCCTCTCCCACCTCTGACTCACAGCCTCAGAGCAACTAGAACTGCTTATTATGGCTGAGTCAGGCCCTCAAGTATTTCCAGCTTTTACATGAAACTCCCCAATTCCTGCCAGGTGATTGGTGTTAGATGTGGGTTTAACTCAAGGATAACTGGAAGGAAAGTGGTAAGACCAAGAGAAGACAGGATCTGTGTGTGGCTGTGATCCTCACTATGGGAGCCATGTTATTCTTTAATGTTAATGAGGGGATTTTATGCATTGAAATTACAATTATCAGAAAGAGAGAATGTCTCAGCCTCACAGAGGGATGGGGCCATCCAAAATAAAATCCACCTCCTCAGACAAAGAAACAGCGGGGCTGTCTCTACCCTGTCTGGGATGCCCAATCAAGAGAATGTGGGTCAATAAATAGGTTTAGTGAGTTTGAACCAATTTTTCTTCAAAACCACCTCCTTTTAAGAGCAGTGGTTCTCAACCTTCCTAATGCTGTGACCCTTTAAAAATACAGTTCCTCATGTTGTGGGGACCCCACTCCCCTAGCCATAACAACATAACTAAACACAAAAATTACTTTTGTTGTTACTTCATATAAGTACCGCGCGCTAACCGATTGCGCCACTGGAGCTCTGTGTTGTTACTTCATAACTGTCATTTTGCTATGGTTATGAATCGCAACATAAATACCCGTGTTTTCTGATGGTCTTAGGTGACCCCATGAGAGAGTCATTTGACCCCCCCGAAAAGGGGTCATGACCCATAGGTTGAGAACCTCTGTTTTAGAGCCTCATGTAAGCAAAGATGCACAGAAGAATACACGGGAACAGGGGTGTAGATCAGGTTAAAGTGTGTGCCCGAGATGCACAAGAGCCTGAGATGATCTCTATGGGTAGTGCAGATTAAATAAAATATACATCGAAGCGGAGGCGGAGCTATTTCAGGAGAGGAAGGAAGGGAAGCAGGCTGGGAGGAAGGTAGTCAAGAGAGGTTAATGAGGGGGTAAATATGAACAACACACATCATAACCATGTGGGGAAATGCCATAACAAAAACCAGGGTATCACCACTCATTTTGTCTTAGAATTAGTATATGCTGATTAAAAAGTAAAAAGAAACCAGCATGAGTTAGGACGTGAGCTGGAGACGACAATACAGTTGGGCCACAAGGCTGATGGACAGAGAACCTCTGCTCTTAAGGGTCCAGCCTTAAGGCCTGGCGTGGGAGCTTGGAGGTCTCCGCCAAACGACCTGGCGCAGTGAGGATCTGGTGGAGTGGACCTAGAGAGAACTGCAGACGCTTGCTGGGCTTGAACCTG